GCACTGAAATGGGCGAGACAGAAGCAGAAGGAGGTTCTTAAAGAGACAGAGGTCAATTTCAAGGCGTTTAGAAGAGGAAGTGATGAGAAGATAAGATTATTTTCTATTTAAACACAAAAACAGCATTTTAATAACAACTAAAGGTGACATAGATACTTTATTATGGTATAGTATTTAAATGTATGCCTGAGAAACACATAATATTGGACCTTTTAAAGGTGGAGGAGACTGTAGCCCCTCCTGTTCTCCATACAAACTGTGTGATCATGTCTGTGTTGAAAATAAGAGTACAACACAACAAGCTGACTCTGCTGTCAGAGCTCATCAGTTCCTCTGGATGTGAGTCAGCATTACTCAGAAAAATATCACTTCCCGTTCCACAGGACAGACTTGTTAATTGAACCTAAAGAAAAGCTCTGCTCTGAGCAGGACTATTACAGTTGATCTAATTGACTTGTTCAAGAATAACTGCAGTTAGACTAATTACTGAGTTTGACTCCTGACAGGTGATTAAAGCTCACTGGTTGTAGTTTTGTAACCTCTCATTATCAAACAAGACAAAACTCTCTCTTCAACTGTAAGAGATTATTGTCAATTTCAAACATTTATAAGAGAATGTTTTGTGGGATTAGGGTGGTATCTGAGAGCAGTTAAAAATGGCCACCAAGCTGATAACAGACATTTTTACACATATTGAGCTTCATGAAACTGAAACAGCTGTCATTTTAGTGTGGGAGGTTTCATGGTTAAACTGGACCAGTCTGGTGGTCAGTCTTCATTAACTGCACATTGCACCAGTAAGAGCAGAGATGAAGGTTACAGTTTGGCTCAAAATACTGCAATGTACACAACATTATGGGTGACATACCAGAGTTCAAAAGAGGACAAATTGTTGGTGCACGTCTTACTGGWGCATCTGTGACCAAGACAGCAAGTCTTTGTGATGTATCAAGAGCCACAGTATCCAGGGKAATGTCAGCATACCACCAAGAAGGACCAACCACATCCAACAGGATTAACTGTGGACGCAACAGGAAGCTGTCTGAAAGGATGTTATGGTCTAAAACCAGCTGTTTCACTTTCATTGTGTAACTCCTGTATATGTTGTAGAAAAAAAAGAATAACGTCCAACACATAAAGCAGTAATAAATTCAAGATGGCTGCCCAGACATCTACAACTGGTGTAACTCAGTCATTTTAGATACATTAAACTAAAATCTGATGTGACAGTAGCTGCCAGGGATCTGTGCTGACAGCCTTCAGGTCCTTGTGCGATCATCTCCTGAACTACTGATTATATTTTAATGAAACTCAAAGTATTCATTGTAGTATTGTAGTAATGAAGTATTCATTGGACTCACATCTTCAGCTGAATAACATTTGGAGTCATCCTCGTTCAGTACGAACACACACACACACACACACACACACACACACA